CAGCTATCGCCACTTGCCGTCACAGTCATCGACTGTCGACGACCCTGCTTGTAACTGTTGTAATCCAAATACAACATTTATGCCTAACATTTGTATTTTATTTTTTTGTTGTATAAAGACAAGTGTCAATTTTGTTATAAGATTGTAATCATATCCTTCATGTTGCAGGAGAAGAGCACCCATGTTCTTACAAACACATGGTGTATTACTTTAATTAAACTAGGTTTCGTGGTTTTTCCCTTTTAATAGTTTTTTCACATAAGAAGTTTTGACATATCATCTTGCTATTTTTCTATTATATGTATGTTGAGTCTTCGTGCAACACTGAGAAGTCAAATAATCACTCAACCATCGCAGATTTTTCTGCACGCAACATTTTAACGTTGTCAGTGGGAAATAAATTCCCATTTGTAGAAGTCTACATCTTCTTCAATGACCAACAAAGACAATACACGTGCTTCTCGCTCAAATATCAGTCATTTCATGGCATAGTCTCAAAGTGCAGGACGCCAAACCTGCGGTTCATTTCTTAATGATATTGATCACCTAGTTGGCGAACTTTCTTTGTGCCTCTTGAATAGCGTGTACAAAAACAGAAGTGTCTCAAAACGAGATTCTCTTACTTTTATATGAGGCTTGTTAACAAATGATGATGCATACTTGAGGATCACAATTATCTCAAAATTCACTAATTAGACGTACACAGTCGACCTCCTCCACCCAATGAGGGTTTTCCTTAAAAAATAGCCTTCTGGACACTGCTAGCTCTACACATTCATTTTATGTAGTTAAGCCTGGTGGCAAACCTTCAACACATTTGAGGAACTTAGCTCGATCTCATGCAATCCATGTTGAGTTGCGATTTTTGGTGCTAGAAAAGTTCCCTTTAAGGGATATAAGTCATTTCTTAGCTCGACGTGATTCTCAAGAATCTTTTCCATTAGATGAGATTGTCCTTCAATACTCTATTCCAAGAGAGTCTAAGTTTCCAAGTGGTTATTCTTATGATGGGACGTTCGATTAGCATGAATATATTGATCACTTTAGAATCATTATGCATATACAATGAGCTTCTAATGTAATCCTTTATCAAAATTTTTCTGTTCCTCTTAAAGGCCAAGCACATACTTGATTTTATTCACTACACGGAGAGATCATTCATACCTTAAAAGGTATGCAAATGTGATTGTGATCAATATAAAGTTTAAATATTTTTCCAACTACTCTTAAAGGTCAAAATTTTCCTGTTATTCTTAAAGTTCAAAATTTTCATGCTACGCCGGCTTTGAATCCCAAAGATTCATTTTTTTTCTTTCAGTTTGAAGCCCATCTACCCGATTTTTAGCCTATAAATAGGCCCAAAAGGAAGCGGAGAAGGCACACTTTTTCTTAGGCTGAAGTGTCATTTGGAGTCCCTTGGTCAGATGTTTTGTCATTCCTTTTATGCTGGTGTTGCGCAACCTCAGAGTCATTTGGTCTGTTGTTGTGTTTCCTTTTATGCTGGTGTTGCGCAAACCCCAGAGTTCCTTGGCATGTTGTTTTGTTGTTCCTTTTGTGTCGGCGTTGCACAACCTCCAGATTCCTTTGAAATGTATCATGCCTCCTACGCCGGCGTAGCACAACATTCAGAGTCATTTTTCTGCTATTTTTGCGCCTTTTGGATGATATTTTTTGTGCTTTGATGTCGATGTCGAGGGAATCTTGTTCCCCCAAAAGTCAGAGGAAGTGCTGAAATTCCAAGGATACAATATTAACACTTGCCGATGATGACATGATATTGTTTTGGAAGAAGTTTTACTTTCCAAACGACCTGATGGTAAAATTACCACTTTCGGCTGGTCGAGCCTATTCCCCTTTTCAAGGATACATTGTCGTTTATGAGGCAACTTTGCTAGCTGACCAAAGATTTTTATTTGTGTTAGAGTTGATGGATATTTTGAAAGCTCTTAGAGTTAGCATTTCACAGCTCTCTTGTAGTGCGACGATGATAGTTATTGGTTGATCGTCTGCTTCAAAAATATGAGGCAAAGTTGATGTCAGATATCTCGACCTGATTTGGCACGTTTGTTAGCGACTCACATTTTCGTGTGCCCTTTAGGTGCAAAATATTGGATCTTCACACAAAAGAGCTAATTAGATACAAGTCTTTATGATTTTTCTCCATGAAGAACAATTGAGGATTTTATGAGAAATGAGGGAACTGCAACAGGTTCCTACTTTTCTCCAAATCACAGTAGATGAGATGTTGCAAATGCTTGGATTTCAGGACCTTAAAGATATGTTTTTTGAGGCACAATACATCAACAGTTTTATGAGTGGAGAATTTTTGTTTAAAACAGACATTTCTATCCCTCCTGGACAACCTTTTGCTACGATGCTGAAGAAATTTGAGAAGAAGCACCCTGAACAAACTTCTATTGCACCCTCGAAACAACCATTGCAAGATCCTTCCTTTGAAGCAGAATAAGAGGGGTGACGGGGCAAAAAATCCACCAACCAGTCCTTCAAAGATCTATATTTCAGAGAGTGTATTGAATCATTCATGCACTGGGTTCTATCAATTTGAAGAATATGTGACTCTTTTTTGCATATGTCGATCTCCTTTGTATAGTGTTCCTGTCATTCATCTGATCTGAACTTATTTATTTCAGAAGGCGAAAAGATTAAACTTGAAGTGTGATTCAATCTTTCTTTGACAGTGTGGAACTTTGAAATTATTAAGGTCAAATTCTTCTGAGGCAAGTATAAATAGAGATATGATTCCAAAGCTGAAGAAGCCGCAATCTTATAAAATCGATTGACGAAGAGCAGAACCAAGATGTCCATGATAGCGATTTCCCTCTCGTTGCGTCGTTAGGATTTGGAGAGTACTCGTGAGGGGAGGAGGTGGAGGAGGTACGGACTAATCTTAGTCATGGTACCAAAAGCTAAAAGGTTCTGAGATTGAAAGTGTCTGCACTTGAAGAGGAGAACAAAAGATTGAATTCTAAGAAGGAAGTCTATCTCCTTGGATTTGGTTTAATGGTTATGGAGGACTTCAAGAACTCAATTGAGTTCATGAGTATCATTAAGCATTATTCTCAGAAGGCTTGTGACCACATATATAATGTTGAGGTGAATGATCTGCATAATGAGTGCATCGAGGAGGGATTCATCCATGGGTTTTTGAAGGGGACTCAAGCAATGCATCGTCAAATCGGAGCTGACATAGAGGGACTTAGTCCTAGTAAAGCCTCTGAAGATCTCTCCTCTTACTCAGAATACGAAGAAGTGACGAGTGACCTACAGGAGTGCATCCTTGATGATGAGGAGAATGTTGTAGTTGACTAGTAGTTTGTGTTTGTCAGTTTTTTTGTTATTGTTGTTTTTCTTCTATTTGATGTACTTTATACATACGATGATAATATTTTTGTTATTAAATCTTTGGATTGGTAGCTACTTGTAGTTTTTGTTAGTGCATTTGTTTCACAACACATCATTTGAATGCAAAGTAGGTTAAGAGTTACCAAAAATTTTGGAGTTGCTCAAATAATGTCAACCCTTACTGAGTTGAGTTTTCGCAGATGAACAAAATGCCCCCAAGTGAGGGATGCATAGTCTATCCTAGGTTGTTAGTGGAAACACTTGCCTCACTACCGTAACTTGTGTGGGAAGAGCTTGAATAAAATCCACCAAAGATTTCTGACATATTTTAGGCTGTTAGTTGAAGCTTTTGTTTGATGACTGTAGCATGTTATAGGAGATCCTCTGAAATCCACCAAGGACTCTTGACATATTCTAGGTTGTTAGTTAAAGCTTCATGTTATGGAAGAGGTCGAATCGAGTCCCCCTTGGACCGATTAAACAAGAATAAGGCGCAAAAAAAAAGTTCTGTATTATTTGAGTCTGGGGCGTAGGTTGAGATAGAGTGTACTTTTTTCTTGGAATTATTGTTATGACCACATTCAAGAATGGTGATAGAAAATACAACTATAGTAATTATATCAAACTTGAAGGGAAATCAAATCAAATAGTAATGACAACACATTAGTAAAAAGTGATGATTAAAAATCAATAAAGACAATAACAAGAGACATAATAGAAAGGTTGTGCTAATTACTAGTAGTATCTATAAAGATTCTTTGCATTCCAGGTTTGTGGAATTGTCTTCTCATCTAGGTATTTTAGCTTGAAAGTTTCTGGCTCTAT